GCAAGTAATCAAGAGTACACCGTGGTAAGCCCTTAGGTGTTAGTAACTGCGCTGTTAGTTGTAATTTGATCATCGTTGTCTAAAATCCACTATGCCATAGTAAAACTTACTTATCCAAATGCAAAAGTGAAGAAAACCACTAAGTTTGCTTCCTGTGTGGAAACAGTAGGTGAACATTGCACTCCTTCTAATTCAATGAACCTAAGGTCATCAGTTCATGTGCAAACTAGAAAGACTCTGTGATGGCTTAATTTAAGATTGCATGTCAGGCCACTGGTTTCTTAAACTAGGCATCTTTGGCAAGGGGATCTTTGAAAATAGGCTAGGCAACTTGGTGTGGAGGGCTTTAAACTAAAGGACTCGGGGAGTGGGGGGCAAAGTCTCAATGCTCAAGCCATCCCATCTGTGTGGCGATTAAGTGTGGGCAATCAGAGCAGTGACAAATGTTCTTCAGCTGCATCCCAAGCTGAAAAGCAAAAGACCAACAACCTTAAGGGTGGGCATGGACATGGCAGATTTTTTTGCACCCCTCCAGGGAAACCAGCATGCTCAAGTTCCTCCCTGAAATGTCTGTACACCAATGCACGCAACATGGGCAATAAGCAGGAAGGATTAGAAATCTGTGTGCAATCACAGGGCCATGGTCTCACTGCAATTACAGAGACATGGTGGGACAACTCGTATGACTGGAGTGCCGTCATAGATGGCTACACAGTCGTTAGGAAAGACAGGCCAACAAGGCAAGGTGGTGGAGTTGCTCTGTATATGAGGGAGTAACCGGAATGTATCAAGCCCTGCCTGAGGGTGGATGAAGAACGAGTCGAGAGCTTATGGGTAAGAATTAAGCGACAGGATACCTTATAAATGCCTACAAATATCTGAAGGGTGGGTGTCAGGAGGATGGGGCCAAGCTCTTTTCAGTGGTGCCCAGTGACAGGACAAGGGGCAATGGGCACAAACTGAAGCATAGGAAGTTCCGTCTGAACATGAGGAAGAACTTCTTCCCTCTGAGGGTGACGGAGCACTGGAACAGGCTGCCCAGGGAGGTTGTGGAGTCTCCTTCTCTGGAGATATTCAAGACCCGCCTGGACAAGGTCCTGTGCAGCCTGCTGTAGGGGTGACCCTGCTTCGGCAGGGGGGTTTGACTAGATGACCCACAGAGGTCCCTTCCAACCCCTACCATTCTGTGATTCTGTGATTCTGTGAGAAATGCAAATGTATTTGTTCCCCATGCTCCCTCCATAGTCAGTGGAGAGAAACCGGACCTTCCAGAAGACAATTTATCCCGTCCCAGCACAACTGCCTGAAACCTCTGGGCTAGAGTGCCCTCTGATGGGTATCCAATTCTATCCATGAACAAGGAGAACCTAGGTGAGTGGCTTACACCAGGCACATGCAGAAGACTAAAATGAGGTGAGATGGATGCCAGAAGTACTGGGTAGTGCTGCCATTGGCTATTTTAGAGCATAAGGTATGCCAGAGCAGTTTATCCAGTGCCTATGTGTCTATCTCTATACATCACCATCACTATAAATCAGCCTATTCCTCTCCCAAGGTTTTTGTCATCTGCAAATGTCATGAGAAATGACTGCATTTTTCCCAGGTCATTGTTGGAAATGCAAATCAATGCAGCAGCAAAAATTAGCCTAAATGAGGGTCTCTCACAAAGAATCCACTTAATAATGTTTCCCTTTTTAGTAACATTTCAAAACCTGTCATTTAACGAGTTTTGAAAAAATTTAGTATGCATGACTTTCATTTCACATGATTTAAATTGTGTGGTACCAAGTCAAATGCCTTATGAAAGCTGTAATTTGAAGCTATTCTGTTTGTCAACCAGATTTCCAAGTTAGCATGATAAAATTTTCCAGGTTGATTAGCATTAATCATATTATTTTCCTTTTAATTTGTATTAATTGAGTCTCCTATCAACTGTTACATTATTTTATCAGGATCTCAGTCAGGGTGACAGATTTGCAATCACCTTGGTCATCACACTTCTACATCAGTATGTCCTTTTATGCAGTAACCATGATTTGCTGTAGGTCTTCATATAGAAATCACCTGATGCTTTAAATTCGCCCAAATCCTTAGAATACAGATTAGTCAACGTACTAGAATGTTCTTCAGAAAGTGAAGATCCAGGAATCTGCTCATAAAACTGGCTGAGTGTAATCCAAACTTCTCACCCTTTGACATGGGGTTCTATGACACCTTATTATAAAGATGCCATTTTGTTTTGTAGTGGGTTTAGTGCTTTTTTAACTGGGTTCAGAAGCTGTAGTAATATTCATTGAAATGCAGGCTTTTTTACAAAGGTGTATCAATGCATGTCAGTCTTGCTGCTTTATCCCAAAAATCTTTCTGTACGTCAAATTGAAAAATCTGAGATTTTTTCATACTGGGACTAAAATAAGTATCTTTTAATTGATGGAGCTACGCCTCTGTTTGGAACCCCACAATATTATTGCCTGGCTGCTTTCTGACCTGAGAAAAAGACTCACCCCTTCTGCTATAAAAATATTTTTGGCTTTAGAAGAAAGATGGCAGCATCCTATGATCTGCACAGGGAGGAACAGAAATGTACCATAAGCATATGATATGAGTTCTACACAGTTCCTCTTGATGTACGTCAAAGCCATTGGTGGTGGAATCCACTTGCCAGTTTTCATCACTGCCTAATTTATGAGGCTGCATGCTGTTTTGCTTGAGAGTTCTCTAAGCAGCAAGCACCTCTGCTGCAGAAACATGAATTTCATCTTACACGCCACAGCAGTATGCAGTCTTATTAAAAGAAAAAAAAAAAGTGCTGAGAAAACCTCAGTTCTATGCCCTGGTCAGCTTGAGGAGGTTTAAACTTACAGTCTGCATCAAGCCAGGGAGCACATCAGCCAAGCAGCTGTGGCGTGTTTTAGGCGAAAGCCTGTTCCACTCTTTTGTCAAAGCTGGATCTGTGCAGCCCAGAAGGCACGAGGCCAGAAAGACGCCACATGAGTCTAGCTCCAGACCCAGTTCTTGGGAAGATGTATGAATTTTATACAAGAAAATTTATATTGGTAAAGCTGGGTGCAGAAAGAAGAACAACCTTGGAAACAGAGCTCCTTCTTGACTGCATTATGTAACTGCTCAGATACTGTCAAAACACCTTTTGTCTGCCTTCAGGGTGGAAGATAATCTGTCCTTCCTTCTCTTCCTCCTCCACTACCTTAAAACACCCCCCACCTCCTCCCCAAAGGGAAGCAATTACGGGTTCTAGCTCCCTGAGTCTAAGAGAGAATGAGGGCCTGAGGGCACTGAGAAAGGAAAGGCTTCACCAAGGGGTTGTGGTAAAGGTCAGGGTATTGACCGCCTCCTTTCATCTTAAAAGGTACCTGTACTCAGAAGAGAGCTAGGTAGCTGGGATCCTGTTGATGCTTTCTGCCAGTTCCTTGTAATGTAATTGGAAAGAGGCAGACACTTTGACTTGATGAACGGAAGACATCTTCAGAACTCCCCCTATCTTCGCTTGCTTTATCTCCTCTATTTGACTTTCTGCTTCTATTAGGATGGTTGGATTGGCCACCCTCCGTTTGCCCAGTTTCCCGCCTCAAATGGGCACCTAAAATACAGGCACGTCTGCTCACAAACTAAGCACTGTTGGGGTCTTTCCATGATCTACCACACAGGAGCAGGATTAGGTTCGCTGTCAGTTTTGGGGAACATGAAAGGGATAAAGAACCGTGAATTACGCATAACAGAATTGCACCCTACTGGTTCCTTAAGACATACAAGATGTTTCAGTCCCATTGTCATCCTAACATGCTCTTGCAGAAAATGTTTCATACAGCCAGAGGCAGCCCTCTGAGTGTGGCAGGACTCATCCGACACTGCTGATGCAGCACTGCATTGACAGTTGTCTTCTACTCCTGAGGTACTGTTCCATGCTGTGAAGGTCCGGCACCATGTTACAGTCTGTTAGACTGGTTAAGCCTATATGAAATGCCTTAAGAAATAAACTGAGTAGGTAAGGATTTATTAGAGAACTGTTAAAACCTGATTGTTTCTTTTTGAGCCCTCACTTGATTATTTTCATTGCAGATTATGGAGGAAAAAGAGTACTGAAACCAGCAATCTGATCATGATCCTCATACACCTTTGGTTTAGACCTAAACTCTTCCAGGCAGTAACACAGTCTTTTAATACCAGACCCATTTTAACGAGGGTCTAAATCAGTAGGCATGAACTTTTTATGAAAAGCTTTGGACAGTAAAAGCTCCTGGCATGACCGAAGAGCCCATATATTTCTCCCAGGGACAACTGCGGCTTCTCTTCAGCCGGTGTGTCCTCACCAGTTATCCCACCAAGCCTCCTCACCCGCTCCGGTGCCACTCAGCGATGTGAGTCACCCCAGCCCGGGCGACGGC